TGTATTTTGAAAATTTAAATATGAATATGAATTGAAACATTGTTTTTTATTAAAAAGTGAAATGGTTTAATGCTTTAGTTGTATTTTGCACATGAATGCTAAAACACGAAAATGACATTTTTTTTCACTTTTTTCTAAGAAGGTCGCAATCTATCTCATTTTAATTCTTTAGAATCAATTAAAGAGATGCATACTTGTATATTTGTAAAAAGTCAAATACAAATATGAATTCAAACATTTCATTATATTAAAAGTGACATATTCTGTCACTTATTTTTAAAAAAAAAAAAAAAAAAAAAACTCAGGGCAAACAGAAGTTTAACTGGGTTTGACTCCAACTCGTCCAATGCCCAGCTCACCATGTTTCTGGTCAATCAGCTGGGCCAGGCCAAGTTTATAACACTGCAGGTGGAGGGAATGTGTGTGTCCACGAGTGGTATAAATAGCAGAGAGATTGTGTGTGTGAGAGAGACGCACCCCAAAGGACTGGCCATTTTCAGCAGATTGTACATCCAGAAAACCAGCCAGAAGAAACTTGCCCTTGAGAGAAGAGTCTTTCTGCAATAAGACATCAAATAAAATCAATAAATACTTTCAATTGATGGAAGAAGATGGTCACTAGTTAATTCACCAAGTAATGGTATCTTGAAATAAATTACCACTTTCCAATTAGCAGATTGAGAAGTCCAATGAAGGACAGTTCCACCAGGCTTCAACACTCTTGAGATGTTGATAAGCAATTGATCGCTGGGAAGCTCAAATGAGTTACTGATATATACAACAACATCCATAGATAAAGATTCCACCGACAATAGACCTGCCATAAGACATTAAATGTAAAAATTGACATGAATCAATGGATATTGCAACAGCAATAGGCTCAAAGCCAGAATAGTAATCCACTAACGCATCAACCTACAATTTGAAATCAACAAAAGGATTTTATGATCAATAGTCTTTCAGATACAATAGAAGGCTTTATTAAGTGAAACTGGAAGGGAAGGACTGATTCAGTTCACAGCATCTGGAACCATATTACGCAATATGTGCAGTTAGCTTATTGAGGGTTCAAGTATTAATTTATTACAATTATAAAATAAGTAAAGAATGTGATAGGAATAAATCAGATAAAAAATTATCATGTCTACAACATCAAATTTTGATCAAAAGGTATGTAAGGATGTTGCCATCCATCAAAAATCTTACGAAACACATGGTTTGCAGTGAGATGGAATACAATAAGATTTTCACATAGGAGTTTCATTACAGTAATTTGTAATGCATAATTGGAGATTTAGTAACTTTCAAAGCTTTTAAAGCAAGTAAAATGAACTCATACTTGATAAAAATTTCCTAGAACTATGGGTAGAAGTATGATTCAAAGATCAGATTCTAAGTATAGCTAATTATTAAGAATATTTTATTTTATTTTTTTAACAAAGGATTTTTTGTTCCGAAGGGCCGACATGCTTGATCATGATTAAATGCACAATGTTGATTTGATGGTTGCATATTAACTAGAGACCTGTCCTAGCCACCACATTCTCTTCCAACACAAGTGATCCCGATAGACCCCCCGTTCAATTCACATATTCTAGTAGGCCAAGGAAGGTCGGGCTACCATCTGGTGGGAAGGGAAACTGAAGTTTGTTAGGGGGGGGGTAATTCTGTTGGGGAGAGTTTGTTAGAAGTAGGCTATAAATAAAGGTAGAAAATAGTCCTAGAGGTAGGCAAGAAATGAAGTAAGAGGGTGGTCTATCAGTTCTTTTTCTGAAATATAATTTTAGCTTTCATTAATTACTTATTCTTTCTTTCGGTTGAGTCTTATCAAATTGGAATCAGAGCACGTCGGTCCTTATGGCTCAAAAGAAAACAGAGGGGAGGATAGAATCAATGGAGAAAGAAATGAAGGAGATGAAGTCTGATCTCCAGCGTCTTCCGAGGCTGGAACGAACAGTAGGAGAATTGGCCCAGAACATAGCTCGGATACTCCAATCAATGGAAGAAACAAGAAAATCTGGAGCAGCCCTTTCCAACCCAAAGGCAGGATTGGATGGAAATTTTGGAGGAGGAGGGACAGGAGGCCTAACTGGGTGCCCAGAACCAACAGCTACACACCCAAGATTGATAGGCGATCAACGAACCTTGGATCGAGGGAAGTGGCCAGAAGAATATGGGGAAACCAGTAATGGAAAATTGACGCCGATTACGGACCAGGAAAGGGAAGGAAATAACTGGCAACGGGTAACAAAACTTGAGATGCCCAATTTCAGTGGCAACAACCCTGATGGATGGCTTTTCCGGGCAAAACGATACTTCGATGTGAATGGACTGACAAAAAGGGAAAGAATGGGAGCAATTGGAGTAAGCATGGAAGGCGACGCTCTGTCATGATTGCAATGGGTGGAAGCAAGGAAGCCATTCGAAAACTGGCAGGAATTCCGGCAACAACTGCTGCTTCTTTTCGCCCAACCCAGGAGGGCAATTTGTGTGAAAAGTTTCTTGCCGTTCAACAAGAGGGGACGGTGGCAGAATTCCAACGAGCGTTCGAAGTCTTGGCTACAATGTTGAAAGGAATACCTGATGAGGTTCCTAAAAGAACGTTTGTGAATGGTCTAAGGCCTGAAATCCGGGCTGAAGTCTGTTTATTGGGCCAAAAGGATTGGGCCAAATTATGGACATAGCCCAAAAGGTTGAGGACCTGAATTGGATGATAAAGAGAGCCAGAGGTCCCACAGCCCAAAGAAATCAAAAGTTTAGTCCAGCTACAATCAAACCTAACCCATTTCCTATGAAGACTGTGATGATGGAAGGGAAATTTTCGAACGACAGGAGAGATGAACCAGTTAGACGCATGTCCGACGCCAAATGGAAGATGAGGAGAGACAAGGGCCTATGTTTTCGATGTATAGAGAAGTACATGGCTGGACATCAGTGCAAGAATTGAGAGTTAAAAGTACTCTTGGTGCAGGAAGACGAAGAAGACGGCAGGTCAGATAGGGAGCCTCTAGTAGAAGAGCAGCCAGTCGAGGTGGCGGATAAGGTGGAGTTATCGCTAAATTCTGTGGTAGGCCTAACCACACCCGGAACCATGAAGTTGAAAGGGACCGTAGGACCTCGTGTGGTAATTTTGTTGATTGATTATGGCGCTACCCACAATTTTATATCTCTACAGTTAGTTCAACAACTAGGAATTCCTACCACCGTTACAAACAACTATGGGTTGTCATGGGGACAGGAGAATCAGTAAAAGGAAAAGGCATATGCAAAGGGGTGATGCTGAATTTGCAAGGGCTAACTATCGTAGAAGATTTTCTTCCTTCGGAGTTAGGAAGTACTAATGTGATATTGGGGATGCAGTGGCTAGGCACAGTGGGAAGTATGGAGGTTAATTGGAAGATGTTAACAATGAGATTCCGGATTGTCGAGGCAGTAATGACATTAAAAGGCGACCATGGGCTTAACAAATCAGGAATATCCTTGAAAGCTATGGTGAAGGCTCTACAAAATGAAAGGCAGGGAGTATGGGTGGAAATGGAGGAATCAACAGAAAGCAAAATGATGGGAAAGGAGAAGGAAACGCCGATAGGAGTTCTAAAATTACTCCAGAAACATAAACAAGTGTTCACTAATGTTGTAGGCTTACCTCCCACCCATGACTCAAATCATGCGATCCCGCTTAAAGAAGGCACAGAACCAATCAGTGTGAGACCATTTCGGCATCCCCACATCCAGAAAAACGAGATTGAGAGGTTGGTGAGCGAGATTTTGGCTGCAGGGATTATTCAACGTAGTATCAGTCCTTTCTCTAGCCCCGTTCTACTTGTGAAAAGGAAGGATGGCAACTGGCGATTTTGCGTGGACTACAGGGCGCTAAACAGAGTCACTATCCCGGATAAATTCCTGATTCCTGTCATTGATGAGCTATTGGATGAACTCCACGGCGCCACTATCTTTTCAAAGCTAGATTTGAAGTCAGGATACCATCAGATTCAGGTACGGAAGGAAGATGTGTATAAGATAGCTTTTAGGACACGCGAAGAGCATTACGAGTTTTTGGTAATGCCATTTGGCCTCACCAATGCCCAAGCTACTTTTCTATTAGTGATGAATGATGTGTTTAGAAGTTACTTAAGGAAGTTCGTGTTGGTCTTCTTTGACGACATCCTAGTCTACAACAAGGACTTAACAACTCGCGAACATCACTTGTAGGCGGTCTTCACTGCATTAGAAATGCACCAGCTGTATGCCAATGCTAAGAAGTGCCTTTTTGCACAGCAACAAACAGAGTACTTAGGGCACCTGGTCTCAGAAAAAGGGGTAGCAGTGGACCCGAAAAAAAAAATAGCAGTGATGGTGAATTGGCTTCGTGAACTTAGAGGGTTTCTGGTGCTCACAATTTGTTATAGAAGGTTCGTGGTAGGGTATGGAACCATTTCTTGGCCTCTTACACAACAACTACAGAAAGATCCATTCAGCTAGAATGAAGAAGCAGAGAAAGCATTTCAACAATTGAAATTGGCTATAGCCTCCTAGACTTCTCGAAACCATTTGTTATAGAGACGGATGCTTCAGGCTACAAGCTAGGGACAATGCTAATGCATGAGCAAAGACCACTTGCATTCTTCAATCAAGCATTATCGGTGAGGTCACAGCAAAAATAAATTTATAAAAGGAACTGATGGCAATTGTCTTAGCCATTCAGAAATGGAGGCACTATATTCTAGGAAGAAAATTCATGGTTCGCACTCATCAGCACAACCTCAAATATCTACTAGAACAGCTGGCGATTCCAGGGGACTTCCAAAGTTGGGTAACAAAACTGATGGGATACGACTTTGAGGTACAATATCGACCAGGTACAGAAAATAAAGCGGCGGACACTTTGTCACGTATTCCCGCCCAAACGGAGCTGGCAACTCTCACCCTCCCAATGCTACTGGACGTGCAGCAAGTGGGGGCTCAAGTTGACAATGACCAACTACCGGCTAAAATAAAGAAAGAGCTCCAGGAGGATCCAGATGCACACCCAAAGTTCTCAGTTGACCAAGGCAGGTTATTGTATAAGGGACGCCTCGTACTCCCTCGTGCCTCACCATTGCTTCCTACATTGCTCAGGGAATTTCACAGCAGCCCAGTCGGAGGTCACTCAAAATTCCTTCGAACATACAAGCGACTGGCCAGCAATTTGTATTGGGCAGGGATGAAGAAGGATATCAAAAAGTTTGTCGAAGAATGTTCGGTTTGTCAACAAAACAAAATCTCCGCCTTATCCCCCGCCGGCCTGTTACAGGCCCTTCCAATTCCAGAACTTATTTTGGACGACATCTTGATGGATTTTGTGGAGGGACTGCATAAGTCAGGAGGGTATGACTCACTGCTAATGGTGGTGGACCGATTGAGCAAATATGCTCACTTCCTACCCTTAAAACACCCATTCACAGCTACCTTAGTTGCTGCCATCTTTGTCAAAGAAATCGTTCGTTTACATGGCATGCCCCGCTCAGTTATCTCAGATCGAGAAAAGGTATTTTTAAGCCACTTTTGGACAAGACTCTTCCGGTTACAAGGGACCTACCTCTGAAGAAGCACGGCATACCATCCACAAACAGACGGCCAAACTGAGGTTGCAACAGATGCGTGGAGGCCTACCTGAGATGCTTCTCCTATGACAAGCCAAAGAGATGGTATACTTGGTTACCTTAGGCGGAGTACTGGTATAGTACAACCTATCATGCATCCACAAACACGACCCCATTTCGTGCGGTTTACGGAAAGGACCTCCCTCCCTTAACACGCTATGGAAATCAGAGGACAACAATCAATTCGATTGAGAAGCAGTTACAGGACAAAGATTTGATGCTGGATGAGTTGAAGTTCCACCTGGTTCGTGCCCAAGAAAAGATGAAAATGGTTGCTGACAAACACCGACGAGACATCCAGTTTGAAGTAGGAGACTTGGTCTACATAAAGCTGCGACCATATCACCTTCGGACACTAGCCAGGAAGCCAAATGAAAAGCTAGGCCCTAAGTACTTTGGCCCATTTGAGGTGATAAAACTTATTGGACCAATGGCATACCGCCTTCAGCTACCCCTACTACAGCCATACACCCTGGGTTCCACGTGTCCCAACTTAAGAAAGCATTGGGAACCAAAGAGGCTTGTCAACTAATACATCCTTACCTGGATGCTACCCTTGAGTGGATTATGGAACCGGATCAGGTCTTGGGCATCCGTCTAGCTCCTACAGGCCAGCCCCCTGGTAAAGAGGTACTAATACAATGGAAGGACCTCCCACCATCTGATGCTTCTTGGGAATCAGTCGACTCGATTATCCAGCTTCCACCTTGAGGACAAGGTGTCTTTGGAAACCGGGGGGATTGATAGACCCCCCATTCAATTCACATATTCTAGAAGGCAAAGGAAGGTCGTGCTACCATCTGGCGGGAAGGGAAACTGAAGTTTGTTAGCGGGATAATTCTGTTAGGGAGAGTTTGTTAAAAGTAGGCTATAAATAAAGATAGAAAATAGTCCTAGAGGTAGGCAAGAAATGAAGTAAGAGGCTGGTCCATCAGTTCTTTTTCTGTAATTCGTTTTCTGAAATACAATTTCAGCTTTCATTAATTACTTGTTCTTCTTTCTTTCGGTTGAGTCTTATCAGATCCCTAGGAATGTAAATGAGTTGAAGTGAGCAGGAAAATTGATAAAGTGCCAGCTTAGCCTTGAGGTCCTAAGAAACAATAGTGAATGATCTTTGTCAAGCTCGTGTGTGCATATTTTCTTTTTATTAGCGTGTTTTCCGAAGCTTTATAACTTGATGAAGTCTAGAATAGGCCAAGCTGAGCTTGTCTAGCTACAAAGTAATCTCAAAGGGAGTGATAATACAAAGTAGTCTTTCTCGTGGACAATCGAGTACAATCATTATCATCTAATGTAGAGCATTAAGTTGCCATGCATTGGCTTCAAACCAGTATTTGGTTTCAGTTTTTATTCATTTTTATCAAAAGAATTTCCTTAAATCATGATAAACTGATCATTTTTACATTAAATATAGAAATTATCACTAAGGATTTTTGGAGATATGAAAACAAAATCCAATGCTAAAACATTTCAAGCCTTTTGGAGTAGAGGAATCAACATTAATCGTGGGGTTGGATAAGGCAGGCCCCTTCTTGGTCCAGAGGTGATTGTAGATTTGCACTGCTGCCCTAGTGTATAAAATACACAATCACAACATCTAGAAAGTGATCCGTATTAGAAGTATGCCAAAACACCCATGTCTCCCTCGTCAAAAGTATGTCCATTTTACCTCTCATAATACCTCACTATAACATCCCATTAAAGCTCTGCACTTCTTAGGGTCCAGTACTGGTGAGTAAATTTACCCATAAAATTATCAATTTCTTTCTTTATCTCAGTCCACAATACGCAGTGTAGACCCAGGCTATGCTAAAAGGTGTAATTGAGATGTCCCCATATCTCTACCCAATAAGATGCAATTCTGCCCAAATAGCATAAAGCCACAACAGGTGAACATAGTTTCTTTAATAATTTAAAAAATATTTTGATCCAGAAAGAGGAAAAGAACTAAAAATAAAAATAAAAGTAAAAATCTTATAGTTTAATTACTTGGGATCCCAGCCCAACTGGTCTAATCTCAAACTGAAAAGAATTTCAAGATCCATGTACACTATAAACCAGCACTGCATTTATGGTTTAATAGCTGCAAGAAAAATTAGATACAGCGAATTATTCTGGAAAGAATTCATTCTTTTTAACCCTAGTATATTTTTTGAATTTCAGACACATTCCTTAAAACTAATAAATTTAAAAACATATTGAAATCAATGAGCTAATTTGAGAAAACCAGCAAGTCCCTTCAAAGCAAGTTTAAGTAACAATCTAATTATTTCAAAACAATTAACAAGAAAAGTTAGTGAGGGAATATTTACTGTCTGGTAAAGCTTGAGTGATGATTATAGGATTAAGCTTCTCAGACCCTTCCTTTCTAACAACCTTAATTGCATCTAAAATTGCATTAAGAGACGCCACTACTTGATCCGTTAGTGCTAAAATTCTGTCTTGTGCCATCGTTATATCCTACAAAAGAACCAAACGGAAATATCATGTTAAAGTGAAACATTCTAGAAAATAAGAAGCATTGATTCTTAACAAAAGTTACTGGGCCAAAGTTCAAGATATTATAATACATGTCGGGTCTTCGTTTGAGAAAATAATAATATAAGAAGCCGTGTTCATTGAGTTCCAAAACTGGAAGATCTTACAAACCCTAAATATATTACTATAGTAAACCAAATTTTACTGAGAAAAATAAACAATAAAATACAGAAAAATACCAAAAAAATAGAATTAAATAACTAGGTTAACTACGCAAAGTTTTACATTTTATGTACATCCGTGAAAGGTGCAAATGATCAAAAAATGAAAAAATCGGCTACGTTCGGAGTTAATAGAGAGAGAAAATGATATGGGAACTCACCAAAATAATATGGAACTGATGAAGAAATTGGTGGGCGTTCGTTGATCGGCGGTAATGAGAATCGGAAATCGAAAATTAATCTCTCTCTAAAATCCTCTTTTTTGGAGTAGTAGTCTGAAAACGTGTAAATGCAAAATTGCCGCTATATTGAACGGTGGCCAAGTGCCGCGCCGACTTAAGTTGGTGGCGCGTTCTAACCCATTCGAACAAGGAAACCGAACGGGTTATTTTGAAACAAAGTTTTGGGCAAAATGGTTGGGCCGGCCCTTCAAAATCCAGGCCCATTTTGGCAAATGAACCCGCTCCATCAAGAGCCGGCTCTATTTTCAGAAATAGGGCCTTAGCCGGGGCTTAGTCCCTGTAATTAATGGACAGACCGGCCGCACCCTTTTATGTTTTATTTTTAATTAAATCCGGATTCGTATTAAAAAAAAATTATTAATTAATAACGGAGATATTTAAATCCTCCTTTTTTTGGGACTTGGAAACGATATTTTAAATGTAAACAGAGTTAAAATGGTATAGAAATAATTATTTATATTTAATTTAAAATAAAGTTTGAAATTTTATATGGAAAAATCATGTCAAACACTATTCTTTTTAGTTATTTATTTTGTAGTATCCACAAGTAATGTCACTTCTCCATCACTCATTTACCATTTTTTATAAATACCTTGCAAAACATACCCAAAAATTTCAAATATATTACTACAAAATTTGGAGGGTGTTCTCAAATCTCAATTGATATTTTGATGAATATGAAAAACTTATAAACTCTAATGAATTTCGTAAGTTTGAATAGATTTCTACAAAATCCTTAAAAATCTCACCAAAATTTTTAAAAGAGTTTTTTATGCCCCCGTTTGTTTCTCATTTTGAAAAATGAGAATAAAAAATATAGTCTTTACAAACCTCACACAAAATATAGAAATTCAAATTTGGTGGTTTGATGTGATGGATAACGAATCATATTTTTCATTTTAATGAAGAAATAATGGGAATTAAACAGGGGTTATATATTTTTTTAAGCTTGAAATTCATTCTAATCTTTTAAAATTTCTCTACTAATGAAATCCTTATGAATTGATTATTGAAGATCTCTGGATTTAAAAAATTTCATTGCAATTGGAACATTGAAATTTTAACGAATTTCATATGGGGTTATCTAACTTTAGAAGGATTTTTAAAATCCATCAAAATTTAAATTGAGAAAGCCATGTTATTCTACAAACACTACCTACTCTTTAAAGCGCCACACTGATTAAGAGATCACGTGATAAAAACTAAGTCCTTGTTTGAGCCTCATTCTTTTTATAAAAATGAATTTTTGAATAGTGTATTGATTGGAAATATATGGTTAAAAAATAAAGAAAAGTTTTACATTTACGTGTAATATTATTTTATTGAAAAATGTGTGATTGAAATATTGTCAAAACACTGTATAAAAATGTATTTTTTTCAAGAATGGGGTTCAAACAGGGGGCTAAATCTCCTTCTCCACCTAACTCATACCCTTACCTCCACCACCCACTGCCTCCACCCCCATAGCCTCATCCATGCCTCGCCTCACCCCCACTTAGTAGTAGGCATTTTTTCCCGAAATCGGTACAATCGGATCGGAACCGTTTAGAACTGATCGGTTCAGTTCCAAATCTTTTAAAAAATGATTTGATTTTTGGAGAAATTATTATGAACCAACATGTTCCAATCTAGTTCCCAATTCCAGTATGGGAATTGGACGATTCTCATAGGATTTTTTATTTTTTATAAAATATATGACTCAATCTCCAATCACTTTTATCAAAAAATAATCGAGTCCCTTCTTCATTTTAGACTTCAACACTTTCCTTCTTCTTTTTGATTCTTTGATTCTCTATTCTTATAATTCTTTGATTAATTGATTCTCAAACCAAATTAGAATATTTGGTAAATCTATAGCTAAATAATTTTATTTACAATATATAATTTTATTTCTAAGATGCGAAATTTTTATTTTGTTTTTACTTTGATTATATAGTTGTTGATCCGATCGAAACTTTTCATCTAAAATTCTACAAATTATAACTGACAGAACCAGAAGTTGCAATAAATTTTTAAAGGGCGCCCAATTCAATGTAGGATTTGAATTTGATGGAAGTTTGTTTAATTATTGGAGTACTATGCAGTTTATATAAGTTGATGATTACTTGATGATAGTTTTAAATTTGTATACTTAGTTTTTTATTAATTTTTGAATAGTATGTTCGATTCTTCTATATTTTGTTAAAAGTATCACGTAAGTAGCATTTCTGGATTTTTTATTAGTGAATATTTTATTTTGATATTTTCAATATAAAAAATTGGACCGGACCGTATCAAAACCGATTGGTTCAGTTCCATAGTTAGCTATGGAACCAACGGTTCCATTTCTAAAATTCCCATTAATATTTAGTTCGGTACGGTTCAGTTCAGTTCCCTTTGAAATCGGACTGCGCCCACTCCTACACCCACTAGATTTGATTTTGCCCAAAACTAGGTCCGAAACCAAAGTTCAATAATAGATTTGAACTTTTAGTTGTGAATCTATTGCAGGGTAGAGTGAGCAACAAGGGCTTTGAGATGAAGATTGGGTTGAAACACAACACTAAACTGCCTTGTTCAACGACTTTTTAGCAGTTAACGACAATCAAAGGGCAAAAGTAACGCCATTGGCAGTGATTACCCTATAAACGAGGATTTCAAGTCTCTTCTCCTTGTAGTGAACTAAGAATTTCGATGAGCACAAAATTCAATTTTTATGAATTTCTTTATCATATTTTGTTAGAACTAGAAGCTATATTTGAAGAACGAAAATTGAGAATGGGGTCATGTTGCATTACAACTAATGGTGGTGCGGATCTAGTGATTAATATGTTGATGGTGGAGATGGTGAGGTATAGTGGTGGTGGCAACATTGTCGAATTTTATTATTCCAGCAGGTACCCTAGTGCCAATGATGATGGTGACGTGAAGATCTGATTGTGGTGCATATCGTGGTGGTAGTGGCACCTAATAGTGCAGACTTGAGTGGAGGTTGTCTTGGTGGTGGTAGTGTAGTATAGAATATTATTAGCCGTGATGGTGACATAACATGATAAATTACAAGTGGTAATGACGATGTAAGATTATAATTGTAACATAATTTGTTACAAGTGGTGTTAGCAACATGACGGTGGCAATAGACATAATCGGTGAAATGTGTATAATACACTTTGTTAAAAATTGTGGCAGCGGCATAGTGTGTCTAAAATTATATGCCTCGTTCAATAGTTAATACACTTTCTTAAAAAATGTGTTGTAAAAAATTAAAATAAAAAATATGAAAAATAATGTTTTGGAAAAAAGAAGGTTGTCTATTATATTCTAAAATAATTTAATCTTTTGTGTATTTGTAAACTGTTCCCATTTTATATTTTCTCAAGAGAATTTTATAGGGCTAAGGGTTAGCTCTCACGGACAGTATTCTAAAAAGGTGTGTCTCGTGTGTGTTTTATTGTTTGTCAAGTTGTATTTTTTTGTTTAAATTTGGTCCAACAAACCAACAAAAAAACTGCTAAACCGCTAACTTGAAAAAAATCAACAAAAACCCCATATTAACCAAACCCGACCACAAACATAGTTTTATTTGACCACAAACAAAACAATAGTGATACAGGCACTTATGGTAGAATTATGATTTTGTTGGAACTTGAAGAATATGTGTGTGTGTATATATATATATATATATATTGATCTAGAATAGAACAGTATCAAAATAAGATAGAGCCTTATCATGTATAGGTTCATAGTTTCGAGGTTTGACCTCCACGCCTTGCAGTTGTCACACCTCATACCTTTTAAAATTTTGCTCACGAGGGCAGTGAACTTGAAAAATCTTAGTTTTGACTGGAATGAGGCCCTATGAGATGCTAAGCCCTGTAAATTCATGGTCGAGATCATTAGAGTAGGCCTTCAGGCCAATGGGCTACTCAAACCTAATGCCACCTCTAAATGTCTGCTTGAGAGTCTTTGGATATTGATTATGAAGGTATTTTACGAAGTTATTCTAATGTATTGGTTTTGAGCGATTATGAGAAGTCTGATTTGAGTGGTTTTTATTAGTAATTTTAAAAATAGTCTAAACCGTACTTGAATGTTTATTATTGAACATTTCCAATTTAGAAGAATAAAATTAAATATATGGTGATATATTAAAAAAATGGGTATATGTAAACAATATCGAGTAAATGTTTACATTACTTAGTGAAAATTTTAATTTATAATTTCTTGTATGGATTTTATTATTTATAAATGATACTTTATTTATAAGAAATTCTTTAACTTTAAAAGTAATATATTTACTAATCATTAAATTATTAGTTTTTGTATAACTTTGTATATATATATGAAAATTTTACATATATAAATTAATTTAATCATTAATTATTAGTTATATATAATTTTTTTTATTTATAAGTAAATTTTACAGATATAAAATATTTTTGCACTTATAAGTAATTTTTACACGCAAGTTAGTTTTTTTACTTATAACTTATTATGTTCAATGAATTTTTATCATATTAGTAGTATTTTTATTATACAATCATTTTTTATATAAAGGTTGTGAATTTTGTTTTATAAGTGATTAACCTTTTAGTTATAAAGTAATTATTTTTTGTAAGTAAAAATTTTAGTTACTATGTTTTTATTTATAAGTAATTTTTTTAACGTATAATCGAATTTTTATCTTGCGCAATACATATTTTGAAAATGTGGAAATTAGAGGGGAAAAAATGAAAATTAGCTAAAAACGCTATCCGTGGGTTCTAAATACAATCAAAATTATGTAACACTGATTCTAGGTGCTTTAGAAATCATCAAAAACAAATGCCAAAAAAATTAACGAGCACTAATTCTTTCAGCATATCATAAAAGTGCTACCCAAAAAGTCAAAATTAATGGGAAATAAACTCTTGAGCAAGCCATAAGTAGTAAGTTCGTTTTATTTAATTTACTTAAGATTAAAAAGATTATTAAATATTGATAAGTGTGTTTTTGCACGCTTATTTAAATCACTAACATGACTTAATTATAAGCAAAATATTTAAATTGTGATTTAATCTTATTGAATTTATGCAATGTAGGTGCTTTTAAGGAAATTGTGGAATTCAGAATAAAAGAGCCGAAAAAG